TTGAAAACTAATTGAATTTGTAAATTTTAAATTGAAATTTTAATTTATAAATATAAGTTGAAACTATAATTTTTTTAAAAGTCAAGACTAATATGTAGTATCGTCTTTTATTTATTGTACATTGTTTTCATTAGTTTACATGAAAAAAATAAAAATTGGCTTAAGTTTTATCCACTTTTTAATTAAATTATTTTATATGACATTGGTATTTTTAATAATTTTTTTTACATAAATTAACGATAAAAAAGTACAATAAACCTTAATGTGAAAGCTAGAAAAACCCTTTTATTTAAAAGGCAAAAATATGGAAAAAGGTCCTAAACTTGTACAAAATTCTCAATTTTGGGCCTAAACTTCAATTGCACACAATTAAGGTCCCAAACTATATGAAATTCTCAAATAAGGTCCCAATTGGATGGAATATTCTTTTGTCATTAAATGTCTTGGATGCTGTTAACTATTCAGCCAATTGGATTGCCAACATGGAAATATGTTGACGTGTCATTGTCACGTGGTGCCACATGGATTCTCCTTAGCTTGATTTCCCTCAAAATCAAATGGGACCCACATGTGACATCTAAGTGTCATCCATGTGGTAATGACAAGTCATCACGTTTTTCCACGAACGATCCAATTGACTGAGAGAGTGACGGATTGTTAACTGGCATCCAAGATATTTGCATGTAAGAGAATATTCCATCCATCAAGAGAATATTCTATCCAATTGGGACCTCAATTGAACAGAATTGAAGTTTGGGTCCGAAATTGAGAATTTTGTGCAAGTTTGGGTCCTTATATCATATTTTTGCCTATTTAAAAAGGTACTCATGGTATTGTATTATTGAAGTCATTCACATTATATTTTTCAGTTAAAATTAGTATATCATAAAGAGGTGGTCAAATTATGGTATGTACATCCCCAGAAATGGAAGGTTACAGCTATAAATATTAATGAATCTGTAATACCCCAAAATTTTGTGATATTTTAGCATTAAATTAAGGACTTGATTGTGAGAAAAGATTGTTTTGGGGCCTAGTGTGAATATTCTGAAAGTTGAGGGACTTAAAAGGAAAGAAAATTAGGATAAGGATCCAGGTTGATATTTCTCTCCTCAGCCACGTGTTTTGCTCGTCCTCATCTTCTTCTTCTTCCCGACTCTTCCTCCCGACAGCCCCCCAAGCCCCTCTAGCCACTGACTCATTTTTTGAGAAAATTGGTGACCAAGCTTGGGATTTTCTCCTTCTTTTCTTGTTCTTGAACCCAGAAATTCCCCCCCCCTCTCTGCTGGAAATTTCAGATCTGCTCTGCTCTGTCTTCCCCGCCGGCTGCTCTTGCTTGTGGGTGTGATTTTCGGTCTTTCTTGGTAAGAAGCAGCCAAGAAATCATCTCTTTAACCTTGATTTAGGCTGGGTTATGCTAATTTCTGTTTATTTCCCTCAATTTTTTTGGGTAGTCCGTGAGTTTCCTGCAGCTTGCCGCCGGCTTCTTCTTCCCCTGCTAGCTCCCGTTCTTGCTGGAAAATTCTGGTATGATGGCCACTTCTTTAAGCCCTAAATTAGCCATTTAATTGCTGCTTTGTGTGTGTCCGAATTGTGCCGGAAATGGGGAGGAATTCCGGTAGTATTTTAAATATGTTTTAAGCTTGATTAAGTAGAATTTAGCTTGAATTAGCTGCTGTGATGTTTTGTGTGAAAATCCCGCGTGTGTGAATTGTGATTTGCCAAAGTTATGCTCTCCCTGTGCTGCCGTGAGAAATGGGAAAATTTTGGTAGATTAAGTTATGTTTTTAAGCTTGGTTTAAGTGTAAATTAGCTTGAATTGGGTTGTGGTGATTTTGGAGAGAAAATCCCGTGAATTAGCTAGTGTTTTGGCCAATTTTTGGAAGTTAGAGTTACTGTTCACGTCGTGGTACTGTTCACGACACTGTTCACCGAACACTGTTCACACACAGATGGCCAACAATTAACGGGGATTTAAATGATTAGTTTGTGATATAAGAACGAATTTGGAGATGTTTAATCATGTGGAGATTGGTAGGAATAGCACTGTGATTAGAGGTAGTGCTAATGAAGTTTCACTTTGAATTTGTGATAGTACGGTATTAATTCTGAGATATTTTGATTAGGTTCCCGATTGTTCTGTCAGTTAGCATTGAGATTGAGTGCTCGGTTTTATGCAAGTGAGGTAAGTAAATTATGGTAAAGCCCTTCGATTTTAAAGCATGTTTTGAATTGTTTTTGAGATGGTGGCAAGGTTCAAATTGATTTTAAATTGACTTTAAATTGACTTTATTAGCATTTGAGTGTGATTAAACTGAAATGAAAGTTTTGATGATTTTTACGAAAATCATTGTTTTTTTGGAATTGAGCATGATTGGAATGAAAGTGGGGATTTCATTGTTTTTCTGGAATTGAGCATGATTGGAATGAAAATGAGAATTTCATTGTTTTTCTGGAGTAGAGCATGCCTGTTTGGAATTGATTGAACTGCTTTGATGAACTAAGAGTTTTGTAAATTTCTGAGTTTTCTGTTAAATCCATACTCACATGGAAATTTTTCGATTTGTTCTAAAATTCGAGATTGATTGTGGAGTTTGGGTTTTTCTGTAAACTCTGCATGGTTTTGTCTCGGATATAGTCATGATTACTGATTATTGTGCCCGCTAGTGGGAGGTTTATAAAAGCTAGCACATGTCGACATGTTTACTGATAGAATCGGTTCATCCTACCAATGGGATAATACATTGGTAATTACTGTTGCCTGCCAGTGGGAGTTGTAAACATTGGTACTATTACTGTCGCCTGCTAGTGGGAGTTGTTAAATACTGGTACTTCTGTAACCTTGCCAATGGGGTTAAACATTGGTAACTACTGTGCCCGCCAGTGGGAGGTTTATAAACGCTGGCCATGACTTATAGATGAGACTACTGAGCTGAATTTTCTTCTGCATTAACGGTTTATCATGAAATGTTTTGTTATTGAACTGAATCTGATTTTGTTTTAACGAGTTATCATTGAAAGCTTTGTTATGCTCCCATGGTTTATTTGGCATGCTTAAAAGTTTTACCCAAGGGCTATCCATATTTACTTACTGAGTTATCTCATAATTTTTCTTTGTCCACCATTTCAGGAAGCGAAACCGAGGATGGGGAAACCGAGGGGAGTGACGAATTAGAAGGCTAGCCATTTCGAGATTGATATAGATTTAGAAATAAATCATGCTCTTGTAAGCTAGATTGTGATTGGAGATTTTATGATATCAGAGCAGATCGTAAAATTTTATCTTGAGATTTTGTGGTATCAGATTGTAATTTGAATAAATTCCAAGCCTTGTGCACTTGTGGGACCCGTCTCACGAGTGCACGGCGTCTGCCACGTCTCCGGATTCGGGTTCTAGGGCATGACAGAATCATTGACTAGCTTTAATGGAAATCCCTATAAATTGTTTTCAAGGCAAACCCAATTGCTCCACAGAAGCAAATTCTATACCTCGTTATAGTAATTTCTAGCGTATAATAATAGTCTGAGAGAAGAAAAATGGAGAGAAAAATGATGGATTGTGGATCTTGGTTTTTATGGATTCTTGGGTTCGGAATCATTTTGGCCATGGTGGGTAGCGGCCGCGTGCATGCTACCATATCATGTTCGGATGCCATAAACACATTGACGATTTGCGAGCCCTTCTTAATTAAAGGGTGTTTCGCCATCCCCAGGTGCTCCTTGCTGCGAAAGCGTGTCTAAACTGTATAATGAAGCTTCTACAACTAGGGATGTCAACAGGGCCCCGCGGGAATCCCCATTCCCCACCAATTAATAACAAAGTATATATTTTTTGCATCAAGTATAAATAAAAATTAATTTAACAAATAATTAAATCAACAAAATTGTTCCAAATAGAGATTAATCCAACATAAAGTAACATGTTCCAAACATAAGTTGTTCCAAATATATATAAAAATTAATCCAACATAAAGCAACATACTTATTCCAAATATAAGCAAAAATCAACCCAACATAAATAAAATAACTAAACTAAACCAACATTCAACATGAAGGGAAGTAGCCAAGAACCAACTCAAACCACTTTAGCTCTCAAAATCCACAATTGCTCATAAAAAGACCTACAATACAATTAGTAAATACTTTATATTAACATATTTATAAAAAAACTGTTTATATTATTAGTATAAAAAAGGGTCATGCATATTTACCTCTGAATTATTG